CAATTGCAAAGAAGCAATGCGGCGAGCATTAAAAAAGGGAAGGCCCACTTTTTACTACAACTGTAAACCGTAACAAAATCCCAAAACAAGGCCTTTGGAGCCCGAAAGGGCAAATTAGCAACAAAATCCCTGGAGGGGCCCTTAAATGATACTAATCATAATAAGATCCCTTGGCAGGGCCTCTGAGTCCAATCCACACCTAAAGGGCCGACAAAATCCAAGAAAAGGGCCTTTGAACGATCAATTAGTAGCGCCTAATATAAGATGGAAAATTAATTATAGCAAATTCTATTTTTCGAATGAAATTCCTTTCTTTTATTCAAACCATGGGGTGACAAAGAGAACAACTGAGCACTACAATAAGCCTCTATTGTGATTAAAAGCCTGTCGATCTCTGCAGAGCCACTAGGGGCCTGTACCTGATCAATGCATTGGAACGAAAAGTCGTCCAGGGTGTGTGGGGTTTTGTTGAAGTGTATCGCTACTTCACAAGTTGTTTTGTTTGTGAGCATACTAGATTTGTGATTTGGAAATCTCACTTTAAAGTCGGTGGTAATAGATCCCACGTATTGCAGGAGACATTTCTTTCAGGAAGCCAAGTAAATCACATTTTAAGAGTCACAGGAAAGTCTAGAGTGAATGGGGTAATTTTTGCGTATTAAAATTTTTTATGTTTTTTACGTCAGAAGTTGTCCATCCTCGCAATTTTTTAAACTTTCTACGTTCGGACTGCGAATCTTTATTGATCCTCCTGGCGCGGTGCACCTTTGCTGGCCTGAGAGTTCCATTAACGACTATATATACATATATATATATAATATTATTTATATATTCTTGTCAATTCATTATTATTTTTATCAGCATTTTTTATGTTGGGTACAAATAAAGTTGTTGTTGTTGTTGTTATACTTTAATGTGATTTTCATGCATATTAACACAAAAACGTGTTAACGGCCCCCTACCTTAACTCTCATGAGTGAGCCAGACAGAATTTCTCCTTACCATATCAATAAAATACCACGCAGACAATAGATGAGAATAGAGAAAACAATCCATTCTAAGATTATTGGTTGATCTAATACATGATACTCCGAACCAACATCATTAGAATTGTGTGGCAGACAATAAGGAGAATTACTAGTGAGATCTTAGGAGTAAAAGGGTTAAATATCTATTTAATTGATTGTTGTGATATTACCTTTACCAACATGGGTAAAAGAACATTACAATTACATGTACACTATACAATACCTCCTAATGACAGTCTTTCCTCCATTCTCATTTCCAGCAGCCTCCTCCAGTTGTTCATCATCTTGATCAGTTGATCTGCTGACTTCTTCCACCTCAAGTGACTTGTCTTCCTCTCGGGCTATTTGTTTGGACAAGACAAAGGCATATTAAATCGATTCCTTTCCATTGGTATCCATTTTTAATTTCTAATCAGATTTTTAGCAACAAAGGGCTCTGTAACATTCTTATTGTCCCCCTCCCATTGGCAATTATTGTGGACGACTGATTCCCCCATCCATTCTCCTGAGATCCATGTGATCCCCAGAAATCCCCCACCCATCCCAAGTGATAAACTAAATGACTGGTCCTTTAACCCAAAGTTTCGATCGTAAGCCTTCGACAAAGCTGTTTGCTGTGTTGAGGGCTAAGCCTTTTGAGTGTTCTTCCAACATGGCAAGGCAAGTAGGTTTATCGTGTTTGGCGATTTGCTCTGAATCGTTCAGTTCAAAGGTGCTGAGTTGATTCATCATGTCCAGGAGCCATTACTCGTGGGCTCCGGTAATGTTGTAAAATCCAGCTGCAATGTGCTCAACAAGTAGTCAACCAGCGCGAACAGTTAGTTGTTCAATTTGCATTTTAGTGTTGATCGCAAGCACTCTTAGTCTTCGTTCCGTTTAGAAAAGACACCTTTTGGAAAATCCTTGACTGTAAGTCCCTATGCTATCAGTTTTTTGAAGTTCTACTCTACTGTAGATCTCAACACCCCGAACACTTTTTGTTCGTTCTCTACTTCAGGATGAGCGATGTCACATAATGGCAATTCCAAGGCAATTCATCGATTTTTGAGATTTTTTCTCTTGCCACAAAGTTGAATCAACATCAACTTACATGTGGATATGAAAAACATAAAAAAGAGTGATGTGGGGATTGACAGCCCGGGGAATCTGCTGGATCTAAACGTATCAGTCAAATTATTTACTTCCGTTGCCCAGCAAGTGTAAATCAATTACCCACCAAACTTGAACAAAGCACTGTGCATCATTTTGTAATGCAATAATTACGATGGCCCACAAGGTTCACACTTTTATTATTTTTTGAACAGTTTTCATTTAAATTTTTGTTGTCCCATTAAAATTTTCGATGTTTTTTAATATTTTTTAGCACAAGTTTTTTTCAGTTGTTTTGAAAAAGAAAATTATGTTGTTTTAAAAAAAAATGTTTTGAAAAAAAAATCAAACACTTTCCAATTTATTTTTGGGGCTGACCTGTTTGAGTGCAGGCTCATACTTAATCATCCGCCATCTCCCGCCATCTTGGATCTTTGGGGTTCTTGACTTTGCCAGCACGAAAATGTCATCCCAAACAAATGAAAATGATTTGATTTTATCCGCAGTGGATATACCTATTTGAAGATTTGTGAATTTCTCAAACTTCATGGTATATTCATGAGTTTATCCACTTTAAAAAGGAGAAAAGGAGGCTGAAAGATCTAAGATTGAGAAGAAAGGATACCAATATCGTCAATGATGACGAGTTAAAAATGGCTGTCGATGAGGAAATAACGGGAAGTGATTGCTTTTTAGGATATCGTAAGGTCTGGGCAAGGCTTGGAAAGAAAGGTACTGTGGTCAAAAGGAAAAGAGTCATGGTAATGTTGAAACAACTCGATCCTGAAGGTGTGGAAAGCAGAACCAAAACAAAAGACTGCGTAGGCGGCTGTATCATGCTAGAGGACACAATTACATATGGCACATGGATGGCCAAGACAAGTTGAAGCCTTACAGGTTCAGTATACATGGATGCATAGACGGATTTTCTCGAAAACTTATCTGGCTTGAAGTTAGCCCTTAAAAAAAAAGCCTGAAATCATTGCAAAATTTTATCTCGATGCTGTTCAGGAACTGGGAGGTGTACCTGAAAGGATGAGGTCAGATGATGGAACAGAGAATGCTGTTGTTGAAGCCATACACACCTTCCTGAGATCAACACATGGAAACACCACTGGCCTCGGTTCATTTCTCATTGGCAGATCAACATCAAATCAACACATAGAAACATATTGGTCTCAACTTGTTAAAGATGGACCTGGATGGTGGATGAATTTTTTAAAGATATGACAGACATTGGACTCTTTAACAGCTCTGATCCTGCTCATAATGATTATATGAGGTTTTGCTTCAAGGATATCTTAAGGAAAGAGTTATACGAAGTTTGTGAATTGTGGAATGAGCATATCATCTCTTCCTGTTAAGTTGGGAATGTTAATTTGCCCAAAGGATGACCAGACACTATGTACTTTCTACCCCACTTGTATGACACCAAGGATTACAAAATGATAACAAATCAAGGTGATGTTCAAGAGTTTATTAACAATGCAACAATGTCTAAAGATGATTACAGCAGAGAGTTTGAGGAATTTGGCACCATCATCATGACTGAACGCAACATTCTAAAACCAAACAATGTTAAAGAGGCACTTGATCTGTACGTAACCCTTATGAGAAGTTGAAAATCAGTCTTAAAAACATTATACTATATTCCCACAATGTGTTCAAGTAATACCTCATTATAATTTCAACGGGTTGTTTGAACGTGAGGTAGGGCAATCCTAGGTGGTAGGAATATATTGTATTTATTCAAACAAGGTTAATCAAGCCAGCCTTATAATTGTTGTGCAATAATCTTTCTACTTAAAATATCAACAATAAAATATCAATAATATCACTTTTGTAGATGAATCTTCTTAAACAGAAACATGTACAGCTGCTCTAGATTAGCATAAATATACATTGAATATTGATCTTTCCTGTCAAGCTATCTTCAAACTTTGCATATTTTTCAATTAAGTTACTCATATTATTATGTAAGCTCAGTATGGATTATTGATATATCTATAAAAGGTTTGTATTTGCATCAAAACATTTAGTTTCAAAATAGGTTTTCATGCAAATTCTATGAGATTGGTGGCACTTAATCTGTGAAATAGGTAGAGACTAAATCCTTTGTTTTCTTTTGTTTCTAATTCATTATTTTTTAACTTTTCATACAGTGTCTGTCTCCCAGATTAAGTGTGCGTACTATACAAGCCTTATGTCTCTGATCACTAACTTAAATGAAATAATATGCTCAAAATATAAATTGAAGCTTTAGACAATGTCAATTTCCCACTTAGCGTTATTTAGTAAGTTGGCAAATTCCTCTCTCAGTTCGACATAGTTTGTGTATGGGGAAGGTAGTTCCAACACAGGTCCACATGTATGAGCAATAGGCCTTGATGCTAAACCATCAGATTTAATACAAGTGACTTCTAGTTTTCTTTTCCCCATGATGTCCCTGGCTGTCGTGAAACGTAGAAACTGAACTAGTTTTGGGCATTTCCAACCCTCTAATGAATCTTTGTAAAAACTTCAAGGCACCCCTTTCCCCAGAAGTATTTGGGAAGCATTCAATACTGTCAAGCACCTTCTTTGTTGTAGGCTTGATCTTTTCATAAAAATCCTGAACATCTGATGCTGACTGAAATTCGCAGAAAACTTTCAAATGGCTTTAAAGGATTGGTTCCAAGCAGCTGCCATTACATGTGGTTTCTGAACAAGCTCCTGCTTCGATTATTCAACAAGGATCTTCACAATGTTCTCTTTGGTAACATATGTCCTGCAGTCAAACCTCTCAATAAAATCATCTAATTCATCTCTTTCTTCCAGTATATCACCATTCTCTAGGATCTCATTTATCATTTCCTCTTCAGATGGTGACAAGTACCTTTTGAAAGCATCAAGATAAAACATGTTATCATGGACGTCTTCAGGAAATAGGCAGTAAAAGAGAAAGACCTTGGACAAGAAAAATGGAAAGTAGCCTACTTAAGTGTAGCCCTTGACAAGGATACGTCCAACAGATCTCCCTTCATCAACAAAATGGTCTTGCCGCACAAATAGCACTCTTTCTCTTTCACCAATGGTCATTGAGATAGAGAATTCATTCGCCACAAGAGTTTAAGTTTACATTTAAGTTTAATTCATTCGCCACAGGAACGGCAGGAGAAAGGAACAGAACTTTCGTTCCAATTGACACCTAACCCCTTTCTTTACACACCCATCCCACCCCGGGGAGGACATCCATCACACAGTAATCTCGTGTGTGGGAAATTAACGTCTCCTACCCCAACCCTGCAGGAGACGGGACCTCCATTTATCGTCCCTATCCGAGAAGACTAGAAAGTCTAACCATTTGCAGATATTATTACAAAGGCAGCAATTTCTTCTCAGTTAGTTAAAGACCCTGAGTGTTGGTCCGGCCGGATTTGAACTCACGACCTCTCACAACAGTTCGGCGCTCTACCAATTGAGCTAACCGGGAGGCGGTATATTCTTCATTCGTGAGTATATACCGGGAGGCGGTATATTCCTCATTCCTCCCAGAATGAGGAATATACATGGCAGGCAACACCAATTCCAACACCTTTTTCCATTTCTCCTCTTTGATAGATAACCTCATAAGTAATCTCATGCTTTAAAATGCTTTCATCCTTGAAATGAGAAATCAAGTCTTTTTTTAGGCATGATCTATGAACTCTGAGATGTTTGGTCTTTAACAAGGGTGGAGATCCATCACTGATTACACCTGGACCATTATCATCAAACATGCCTGCAATGTTGTCAAGATCAGGAATATCCGGCAAATTATTATCAACTAGCATGCCAGTTGTATCAGCTGATGAAAATACTGCTAGGGCAGCTAATCTTCGTTGTCGCATTTCTTCAACAGTAAGATGCTCTTCTTGAACACTATCCTCTTCTACAGTCAGAGGTCCATCTTCAACACTTTCTATGTTATTATTAGTAACAGCCACCTCACTTTTTTTATTTGCATCTGCTACTAAAGACTCATGGTATTCCTTGTCTTGCTGGCATCTAATACACTCTTCTCCCTTAGTATAGGTACAAGCACATTTTGAGCAAACCACCATTGAATCTATATTTGTACGCCTGGAATTTGAAATGGAATGTAAAAATAGAGAACCATCATCATAATCTTCATCATCATCATTGTCAATATTATAAATCTGTCTATCATTGCGTTCAAATTCATCTTCTCTTTTATCCTGAGACCTCAAAAACAGATAAGTATTTGAAGCAT